GTGATGCTGAAATTGCAACAGATCTTGACAAAATTCCTGTATTGATGCGATATATCAGTTCCGCCATCTGCACCCGACGTCTTCGCACTTGTGAAAATAACATTTGAAAGCTGAAACGGCGTGCTTTATTGAAATTAATTGCACCGTTTTATTTGTAGGGATAACGGTCACTGAAAATAGGCCACGTAGCTGTTATAAAGAGGCACGATTTCCAAGGGTTGTGTCGACTCGCAGATCTAGAACGTGCAGTTCACGCGCCCCTATTTCCATCGGTTCTCAACGGTCGCTTCGATCTAGGGCTTGATATAAATAGGGATTCTTCTTTTGAGATCTACTTTACTTTCATCTTCTTTTTGCGCTCATATTTTCCGCTTCCTTCGCAAATTAATCACCTGTCATCTGTACTCAAAGCAATTCAGATTCTCGGACGACTTCTTGTGGTAAGAATTCTCCATTATATTTCATTTATTTATACCGACTTTTCCTTTTCTTTTGTCAACATCATGAGTGTATCCTGGGCGTCTTCGGGTGACGACGAGTTGGATGTGATGATGATCAACATGGTTCACTCTGGGGAGTTAGAATTATTATCTGAGTACAACCGGTGGGATCCGGTGTTCGTTGAACGGTTGAAGATCCGACTGAATGATAGTGAAGGGGATAAAGCTGTAGAGGAAAATGCCGTCGACGACCCACGATTTTGGAGACGACCTATCAGGAGATGGCCAAACCCAGAAATAACATCTCACGGAGAACCGAGTATTCTTACGGACGCCGACATCATTATACTGCGGGGCGAAATTCGAGTCCCCTCGTCGGTACACCTGTTTGCTCCATATCCCGGTGAGAGGATCACTTGCCCCCCACCCAACTGTGTCGGTGTATTTGCTGAGAGCTTAAGATCGGGTTTACGATTCCCTTTGCCACGCATAATCACCGAATACTTACGGGACTGGGAGTTTCCGATATGTCAAATCGCTCCAAATTCCTGGAAACGAGTCATTGGGCTGCTAGTGCTTTTTGCCGAGAAAAAATGGGATCTGCCGTCGGCAAAG